TCATTAGGCTCCTCTCCAGACTATAAAAAGGACTACTTGCGCACACACCCCTCTTGCAGAAGTCAATTGCAGGAACTAATGTTGGAGAACATTGTGAGCTTGGCAGTCTGGATTGCTGTCACGGCTTATCTGTGCTGGATTGCTGCCCAAGCTTGTCTGTGCCGGTTTGCTGCCAAGGACCTGTCTGTCTGTTAATTAAATGCCGTAACTTATCTTTGGCTCAGAATGTGTGTTGGTGTGGGACGAGGGGGGTCAGAACACGTTGGCATGAATACTCATAAATTACTATAATGTGCTTTCCATATCCCTGCACACACACACTAGTTTGTTGTATTGGTAATCTGCCAGGTATTCTACAGGTTGTCCTTAGCTGACAGCCATTCATTTAGTGACCATTTGAAGTTACAAGAGCACTGAAGAAAATGACTTAAAACCAGTCCTCACACTTAGGACCATTACAGCAGCCCCACAATCATGGGAGCAAAATTTCATCTCAGGGCAATCACTTTGTATTTATGATGGTGTCCTGGGATCATAAGATCATCATTTATAACTTTGCCAGCCAGCCTTCAACAAGCAAAGTCAACGGGGTAAGACATATTCACTTAAAAATCATGTGATTCATTTAACAACTGCAGTGATTTGCTTTAACAACAGTGGCAAAAAAGTTGTACAATTGGATGTGACTTACTTAACAACTATCTTTCTTAGCAACAGAAATTCTGTTCCCAATTGTGGTCATAAGTTAAGGACTACCTGTTCTTGAAGTAGACTGCAGGGCATTGATAAAAGGACTGTCCATAGGAAAGAGCTGAGACAATTTTTGAAATGGTGGAACTTTGGTGCAGGTTTTCAACAAATCTTGATTCTCCCCCCACCCCAATCTTGCTTATTTCTCTTATAGTTGCACGTTTATATTTATTTTTCCATATTTCTTAAGTGAATGAAGCAATAATCTATTTTGCTCACCATTTTTTTTGTATGCCTAATTTATGCTTTTCAGTTTGGAATATTTATTAAATCCAGGCTAATTGTAACATTAATATTTATTGATCTTGCTAGCATTAGAGAGAATGCATTTGCTTTGTACAGGGCATTCAAACAAATACTTGCTTCATTATAAGCCGATAAATCCACACTGAATTAATAAGACAGAAAATAAAGCAAGTTTAATACTCCAAGTGGTGCTAGTATATTATAATAATAGGAGCTCTTTGATGAGATGATCATATGGAAAAAAGATATGCAGTGCTTAAAACTGATGTATCTTCTCTGTCACCTTATGCAGTCATGATGGTAGCTTATACATATTTGGGTTAGTCATGCTTCAGCATCTGCTAAAATTCCCCAATCTGCACAACAAGAGACTCTGATAAAGTGGGCACAACAGCTTGCTATAATAAATATGTTAGTCCAAAAGATGTGACAAACTATTTCCTGCAATAGCATGAAATATGACGTTGACTGTTGTGTTAAATATATGAATCTAAGACATTGACTGTTCAGAACCTTGACTCCCTCATCTTTGCAGTTGTCATGTCACCCCTAGTCCTTCTTTTCATTAAACTATACATACCCAATTCCAGCAGTCATCTTTGTTGCTCTTCTCTGCACACTTTCTAGAGTCTCAACATCCTTTTTACAACATGGCAACCAAAACTGGATGCAGTATTCCAAGTGTGGGCTTACCAAGGCATTATAAAGTGGTATTAACACTTCACGTGATCTTGATTCTATCCCTCTGTTAATGCAGGCTAGAACTGTATTAGCTATTTGGCATCTGCAGTACACTACTGTCTCATATTTAGAATAGAATAGAATGACAGAGTTTGAAGGGACCTTGGAGGTCTTCTAGTCCAACCCCCTGCTTAGGCAGGAAACCATAC